CGGCCGGCTGGAAGCACCGCCAGTCCCGCGGGGATTACTTCCAGCTGCTGAGGACCTGCAAGGCGCCTCCTCGCGAGGAAGCGCCCGGGGACGAGCCGGCCGCCTCCTTCCTCGACCTGGGCGTGGAGGCCCAGCTGTGCTCCGTCTTGCAAGAGGAGCTGGGCATCACCCGGCCCAGCCCGGTCCAGAAGCGGGTCATCCCTCCTCTGCTGGCCGGGGCCAACGCCCTCTGCGCAGGCGAGACGGGCAGCGGGAAGACCCTGGCCTACCTGCTGCCCCTGATCCAAAGGCTCCTGCGCTTCCGCAGCCTGCCCAGCGGCCTCTCCTCCTCCGTGGTGTCCCCCCACTCCTTGGTGGTGCTCCCTTCTCGGGAGCTGGCAGGGCAGGTGAAGAGTGTGGCCGCCCGGCTGTGCGCTCCCTTGGGCCTGCGGGTGAGGGAGATCGGGGGCGGCCGGGGCTTGCACAGCGTCCGGCAGAAGATCCGCGCCGGCCCCACCGACCTCCTGGTGTCCACGCCGGGGATCCTGAACCACGCCTTGAAGAAGCGGGTGCTGACCTTGGAGAAAGTGCACTGCCTGGTGCTGGATGAAGTGGACACCTTGCTGGACCCCAGCTTTGTCGACTTGGTGGAATCTGTGCTTCAGCACGCCCCCCTGGTGGCCAGCGACAAGGAGGTGGTGGACGTCTGGGACCCCAAAACGCAGCTGGTGGCCGTGGGAGCCACCGTCCCGAAGGGGTTGCAGGAGATGCTGAGCAAGGTCGCTGATATCAGAAGCATCCGTGTCCTGAGCAGTTCTAATTTGCATCGTCTCCAGCCTCATGTAGAGCAGAAATTCATACGCGTCAAGGGCAGCGAGAAGGTGACCGAGCTGGTGCAGCTTATCAAGGATAGAAAACCCTCCTCTGGAGCAGTCCTGGTTTTCTGTAAGGACACCAGCACCGTCAACTGGCTCAGTTACATTTTGGATGACCACAAGATTAAACACCAACGCCTGCAAGGACACATGGAAGCAGCCACAAGAGCTAGCATTTTCAGAGCTTTCCAGAAAGGCACATTTGATGTTTTGGTGTGCACTGATATTGCTTCCCGGGGGCTGGACACGATCCACGTAGAGTTCGTGATCAACTACGATTTCCCACAAACGCTGCAGGATTATTTACACCGGGTGGGGCGAGTTGGCCGAATAGGCAGCAAGTTCCCTGGGACTGTCATCAGCTTTGTCACCCACAGGTGGGATGTGGATCTGGTCTGGAAAATCGAAACTGCGGCTCGCAAAAGGACTCCGTTGCCAGGGATGGAGCCCATTTTGAGAGTGCCTGTTTGAAGGACCTGAGTTTGAACCATGGGAAAGTAGACACGTTCATAGGTTTATTTTTCTTGAGGAGTGATATTTCCAAAAAAATAAAATTAAAAAAACAACCTTAGAATAAAGAAAATCACCACTTAAATGGTTGGTGGCATGGATTTTGTCTGGTTTTCATTATTTTATTCATCTTTAGGATTGTGTGCTCTAAGAAACCACATTCTGTATATAAAAGGAGAGTACCGGTTATGGTCCTCTGATTCTTCTAGCTGAATGAGTTCAGTACAGAGATTTCAAAGACGGACTCGCATTGGGCCTTGTAGTGCAATGGTTAAACTGCAGTACTGCAGCCAAAACTCTGATCACAACCCTGGTCTAAATGCAGATAGCTGTCTTGTGGTTCACTCGACCTTCCTTCCCTTCTAAGGTCAGTAAATTGAGTACCCAGCTCCCTGGGGAGAGACAATGTGTAGCCTGCATGCATCATTAAATTTTAAGTACCCAGAAAGTGCTTTAAGTGCTATGGGGGTGACATATAAGCAGCACACTTCACTTTTTTAAAAAAGACCTGCTACAGTCTTGGCTTCCTACTATCCAAGCTAGGATAACACCACCATAATCTTAGAACTGCAGAGCTGGAAGCGACCCACCCCGGATCGTCAAGTCCAGCCACTGTGAAGGAGACCCAGTGGGGGATTGAACTCCCAACCTCTGGCTCCACAGCCAGAGACCTAAACCACTGAACTGGGCAAGTGGAGAACGGCTCCACAGCCAGAGACCAAAACCACTGAACTGGGCAAGTGGAGAATGCAAGGCCTTCTGATCATGTTACACATGTTTGAATTGTGCCTCATTGGCTATTGGTTTGTTTCAGGGCTCAGTTCAAAGTGCTTTGTTAAGTTTTAAACCCATAAAGGCTTAGGGTACACCTTTGAGAAAAATATGGAATACCTTAGGGTATTCCATATTTTCCTCAAAGTTTTAAACCCATAAAGGCTTAGGGTACATCTTTGAGAAAAATATGGAATACCTTAGATGCTTTGGCTGTCATCTTAAGGCACGATTTTGTATTCCTGATCTTCATGGAGTTAGGTATCATTCCACAAGGTTTATCATTCCACAAGGTTTAGGGCAGCAGTGAGCGAAAGTGCAGTTCCATAGTCCTGTGTTTTAAAATCTTAGAAGCCCCGTCTGAGGAGTGTGTGTGTGGGGTGTGAATGCAGTTTTGTAGTACTTTTAGAAAAGATAGCTGTGTTAGTCTGAACAAGCACATCAGGCAAATCCAAAGAAACAAGACAAAAATATGTGGCACCTCAAAGACTGAGTATTATACTGTATTTTAATATGAACTTTCATGAATGAGTTCACTTCATTAGATAGGGTTCCATGTTCTTAAAATGTCACACCTTGCTTGAAGCATCTCTAAAAATTTGTAAGTGTAGCTCTTTTAAAATCTGGTTGAGTGTGTTATATATTACTGGGAATTTTGCTTTCTCTGCATAGGTTGTGGATAGAAATTATATGTCCTGCTTAGTCTGGCTGATGATGATTACTGATTATGCTAATAGGTTCACTAGCAGTACTGGAGATGCTACGGGCTAATGATCAGTCAGCTGAGCCACAAAACGTTTTAATGCAGCTTTTCCCAATATACAACATTGCTTGCCATTACAGATGAATTAGCATTATAATTTTTGTGGTTAGACAGCAGCGCCGTATAGCAATTAGATAAAGCCATTAGAGTTTAAAGCCAGCCAGTTCAGATTATATGCAAGTGTGCATTTTGGCACCAAGTGAGAGTATGTTTGGACAAGAACGCGGTTTGCTTGCCTGTGAACAAAGAAAAAGGCTTAGCGTTCCAAATGTACCTTCAAAGGAATGTTAAGAAAACTACATTCATGATAATCACCTCAATAAAACATCACACTGCGCAAGAAATGCTGTTAAAAGAGTCACAATGCACCTGTGGAATGTGTTGAAAAAAGGTGCCTTAGAATATTGCCGGATGAACAGTAGGAACATAGCTGTCCCGGAAATGATGGGAATGAATCTGGGCCAGCTTCTTTAAGATCAAGAGATGTAATGCGCAGAAAAACTTAAAACAGGCATTGAGAATGGACACCAAATGGTGTAAGTGCTACTGCCTGGCCTAAAATTGTGGACCATTATACTCTCTGCTATATATATAAAAAAACAAGCAATGGAGATGTGGATCTATTGCATGTGCTGAGAATTTCTTGGTTCAGGCAGTACCTGCTAAATTACCAAAAGCTGAAGAACGGGGTGAGGTTACCTTGTAGATCTCGTTTTTTTTCCATGACAATACCAGCGAGAATAAATTACACACTTAAGTCAACCTGCAGAATAAATTACACAAAATGATAAATTAAGCAAGCCATTGGTAACCCTCCCCCCGCAAATCCAGCTTGATCATTAACATACTTTAAAATGCAGCATTGATGAAACGCATATAGCCGGCTACCCTGATGCAAGAGAGGACCCCTTCTGCAAGCCGAGTCTTCTGATTTAGTGGCATCGATGGGAGGCTTCCAGTGGCGTGTAACTGTAGCAGCCATTTAAAGACTTCCTCTTTGCTTTTTCCCACTGCCTCACAAAATGCACCAGATTCACACGGGCATCTCTTTCCCTGAAAGGCACAAAACTCCACGCTCCATGGTAAACACACATTTTTTTAAGCTGATAGCAATTTAGATTTCCCCCACCCTTGTTCAGTCTTTGAGGGATCTTAAAATGCTGTTTCTCAAAATCCACAACAGGACCAGCTATGCAAGACAGCCAAGAATGGCAAGAATGAGGTATGGATGAGTCCTATGACACCCGTCAACAGGATGAGTGGAATATCCGAAAGAAGCATGTGTTTTTTTTCCATATTTCTGCGCCAGTTGTAACCCTCCAGCTTTCTGTTCTATTCTGCCAGCTCCTCCAACCCCAGTGCGTTGATTCCCCGGGTCCAATTCAGATATTCGTTGTTGAGTGCGTAGTAGAAAAGTTCTCCATGCGAATCCTGACGAGCTTTTTGGCAGGGGCCGGCTGCAGGAGGAACTTGCAGGTGAAAACCTGCCGGCAGGCTTTGCGGAAGTTCTCTGAGAGGAAAGCATAGATGATGGGGTTGATGCAGGAGTTCCCGTAAGCCAGGCAGTGAGAGATGATCCGAAAGGTGAAAGAGGCATTGTTCAAGGGGAAGCGCCCGAATTCTGCCCACATGGTGATGATGTGATGTGGGAGCCAGGAGATCAGAAACACAGCAACCACGAGTAACACGGTCTGTGCTGTCTGGAGAGAGTGGGGGTGGGTGGGTAGGAGAAAAGAAAATACACAGGCATTAAAATGGCATCTGTGTGAAGGGTAGCTTTGACGTCACATTGACATGCTACTGAATTTCAACTGTGAGTAACAACCATGTGGTTTCAAGTCGATTCTGACTTAACAAGGCTTTTCAGGGCTTTCTAGGTGGATCATTTCTTACTAAGAAGTGGTTCACTATACCTTTCTTCTGACTGTGCAGCTGGAATTATCGGGCGCTGGGTCTCCCTCACTGGAAGGACAGATCCTGAAGCTGAGGCTCTGATACTTTGGCCATCTCATGAGAATAGAAGACCCCCCTGGAAAGGACGCTGATGTTGGAAAAGTGTGAAGGCAAGAGGAGAAGGGGACGACAGAGGATGAGATGGTTGGACAGTGTTATCGAAGCAACCCAACATGAATTTGACGCAACTCCGGGAGGCTGTGGAAGACAGGAGGGCCTGGCGTGCTCTGGTCCATAGGGTCACGAAGAGTCGGACACGACTTAACGACTAAACAACAACAAGTGTCTCCCTCGCTTTGCTGTTGTTGCTTGTGCACCAGCTGCTCCCCTGTACTGCGGCAAGATCTTCCACCTGCCATAAGCACCCCTCTCCCGCCCGCCCCCGACAGTTGTGCATCATGGGCTTACAAACTGGTAGCAGAGACGGTGGGAGGGAAGACATGAGTCATCAGAGGTGCGAGATGAGCATCTAGCTCTAGGGCTCCAGCCAAACCCTGGAAGCCAACATGATCCCCTGCCCTGCTTTTGCTCTGCATTTTCTTGATACGACACTGCACAACATGGAAACGTTGCTTTGTGGATTACAGCTGTGATCAGAGATTCTGGGAGTGGCAGTCCATTAAAGTCATGTTTCCAAGGTATTTAAATGTATTCATGATTTGTTCACTTTGTTGGGGCTTCTATGTGAGCAAAATGAGGGGAAAACATATTTTTCAGCCAGTGAGACTACTGGAAATGAAGTCGTACCCATTACAGTCTGAACAAGAGCTGATGACTCTAAATTTGTTTGGGGTGGGTGGAGAGGTGAATCCACTTTGGGTTTCAGCCTGAACTTTATGGGGGGCTCACCCGGGTTCTGAATCCAAGCCCTGAAATAGGTTCAGCACCCGGGATAGCTCCTCGACAGTTCAGGTTAAAAGGAACGCCCAACCCCTGATACCCTTGGGATCACCAGCCTGAGCACGGACACCAGAACAGGGAAGGGATGCAAAAGTAGGCCTGGAAAATGGCAGGATCTAAACTTCCTCACTGTTTTGAAGGTCTGAGATTTGCCTTCCTTTGCCCGTTCGCATCCCTACTCAAAACCATCTGGGTGTTCTCTGCCCTGCCCTTTAAAACCTCTGCTCTTTTTCGCTTCTGGCTAATCGCTGTCCAGAAAGGTCTTAGTTTCATTTCCCACCCAGCCATCACTGCTAATTTGCACGCCCCACGCTGGCACTTCTCCTGCTAGAGCGCTACTGGAAAGGTGCGCTAATTACGTTGCTCTTGGTTACTCCACAAAGCCAAGTATTTCATCCTGAATACCTTCCCCCTTTTGGTACAAAAAAAACCCCAACTGTGTCAGGGGGAGCTGAACAGACATTTAACTGCAACCCGAGGAGAGTGGTTTTGGTCATTATTGAAAAGAATTTCAATATCCGCTTAGGGGAGGGAGGGAAAGGGGGAGGTAGAACAGACCCAATGAAGAAACAGTGCCTTCTGCAACAGAAGAAGCAATATGATACACAAAGGCCAGCATGAACTGCATCCAAGGGTACTGAAGGAACTGTACATATTGCATTTATATGCCATATTTAGTGCATTTATATGACATATAAATCGATCAATCAATCAATCAATCAATAACCTTGCTGAAGAACCCTCAGGACCTGGGTCAGCCCAAACCTTGTCCAGATTGAGCTGAGCCCTCCTCCAGAAATGATCCAGACAAAACTGCACCCTCCAAAATGATCTCTCAATGATAATATGGGATAAAACATGGAAATCAAAGAGTTACTTTCAACTTACTTCTAGGTCCAAAACCTAAGAGCTTCGCAACCCCCAACCCTTGGATTTAGGCTGTAGGCACCAGGCCAGAACTTGTCCAGAAGTTCCTTTCCTGGACTGTCACCCATGACTGGGGGATTCTGGGAGTTGTAGTCCTAAAAAGAACTACTCCAAGCTCTGTTCCAGATGTGAAAGCCTTCTACTTATAGACACTCCCCTGTTTCTCACTGCTCTTCTTTCTTTCCACAAGAATCCTTTAAAGAGGGGAAAGTGGACTAGCTTTTTTTGTTTAGTCGTTAAGTCATTTCTGACTCTTCATGACCCCATGGAACAGAGCACGCCAGGCCCTCTTGTCTTCCACTGCCTCCCAGAGTTGGGTCAAAGTCATGTTGGTGGCTTCGATGACCCTGTCCAACCATCTCATCCTCTGTCGTCCCCTTCTCCTCTTGCCTTCACACTTTCCTAACATCAGCATCTTTTCCAGGGAGTCTTCTCTTCTCTTCATGAGATGGCCAAAGTATTGGAGCCTCAGCTTCAAGATCTATCCTTCCAGTGAGCACTCGGGGTTGATTTCCTTCAGAACAGATAGGTTTGTGCTCCTTGCAGTCCAGGGGACTCTCAAGAGTCTCCTCCAGCACCACAATTCAAAAGCATCAATTCTTTGGCGGTCAGCCTTCTTTATAGTGGAACAGCTACCCAACAGCTTTTACGTGGTGGAATTCAGAGCACCCATCCTGGAATCATACTGTGTTAAAAAAAATCGTGCAAAGAATCACGTCATGTTCCATAAATATCTTGGTTATATTTCTTTCCCTCTCCTGCTTTACTTTCCCTGCTGGCTCTTTCTGAATGGCAGCTGCATCCTTTAAATCCAACTGTGGAAATTTTTTGCTCGGATTAGACTCCAAAGGGTAACTTTGAATGAAAAATGAGCCAATTGTTTTGCGTCCAGCCATGATTTATTAACTGATACTTGGATGTAGTGAGTTGTCGTATACATGAAACCCTATAAATCTGATGGCAGGCATTCCTCCCAGGAATTAGATAAATGTAGGAGGCCTTTCACTGGTCTTTGAGCCATGGAACACATTGGATGATTTCTAGTTGCCCCAGCATCCGATTTACGCACAAAGCCAGCAATTAAGGCAGCAGGATATGAGTGGCCTTGAAATAATAATAATAAAAGAAAAACGGTTAAAAGCAATGTAGATACATTGAATTTTTCCCAAAGAGTAACCATGGTGGCCTGTTAGACTAATAAGTAAAATTGTTTGAGTGTTGCTTGTTTCTATGGTTCTGACATTTCCAAAACACAGTGTAGGGTTGCTTGAGTCTCTCTCTGATCTCAGGGAGTCTGTCCTTGAACAAAAGACCTTCAAAAACAGATGTCAAATGGGAAACAGCAGAAACGTACCATACATCAGCACAGTCAGCTGTAACTCCCTTAGCTTGAACAGGGACAGAGGCTTTTTATCTCATCATGCATGTTCAGTCGGTGATCCAGGCAGGTTTGCCTACAGTACTACCCAGCTCTTGTAGGATTCATGACAATTGTCCAGCCAATTTTCTTCCACATTTTCTGCTCTCCTCTGCTCTCTGTCACCCCTGGTTTCAGCTCCCTTTTCCAATCTGTAACTTGCAAGTATTTTTAATCTCTTTATTTATGCTTTACTTGACACCTATTTTTGAATGACTCGGAGTAAGCAACCTGGTAGCCACTAAATCGTTTTCCAAAAGGATTTACGGATGACAATCTTTGAGAAAAACCACCTTGTAGTGTCTCCTTCTCCAGCCCATCACCATCCAGACATGGACTACAGGCCCCATTATCCTGGTTGTGGGTGATGGGAAGGGTAGTCCCACACATCTGGAGGATGCAGGGTTACAGATGCTGGCCATGATGTGGAACAAAAGCTGTGCTGCATACATCCCTCTCCGTTCGAACGCTGTCGCCCAGATCTGCGTAATAGATGGCAAAGTCCACCCTTAAATTATTATGTGGTCAGGCTTAATGGGACGAGAGCAGAAGCTGAAAAGCTAATGGCCAGAGGAAGACAAAGCAAGGTAGGAAATATTAACAGAGGCACCTGAAATGGAGAGTTGAATTGGGGTTCAATGCGTGTGAAGCCAATTATTTTAATTACGCCGTTCTTTAGGGTGGTGAAAGGCCAGCTGCCGCAGTAGAGGGTTCGGCGAGCTGTTTTGGTTTGAAGATGGCTGCCAGCCCAGAGATTCTGCGGTGGAAGAGTTGTGCACCCGGGAGATCGGAAGGCAATGTCTTCCTGTCTGTCCTTCACCCGAGAGTGTTCTCGAGAGTTTCCCAGCGCCCCTTTGTCCGATGTGAGGGGAAAGATGCAAAACAGTTCCCTTCTCTGGCGCAGATGATAGCCTAGCAGTCTACCAACGTCACACGGATGAAGATGGAGCGATTCCCAGCTACCTTGGAGATCTTTGTTATGATGATGTTCAATATAGCTGTCTCAGATGTCTAACATCCTCCATTACATAGAGGCACAATGCTTAGAATATTTCCTTTCTTTCGGCTACAGTTCTGAGAATCTATATATACGAGCTCTATATACGTAGGCTGAAGGTTCTTTTGTCCGGTTTTGCGAAAAACAAAACACCGGAGAGTACCTGATACTTTATTGCTCAGCTCCGGGCTCTGTCTCGTATCGAACGAAAACGTGGAACGTCAAACCTGAACTCTCCTGGCCCAAAATATTTTGCTGCCTGAGATAGAACAGGTCACAATGCCAAGTCTAGTTTGAAGAAGGAAAGGAGAACAGCAGACGAGCCTGTTTTGTATTTGGCTTTAAATTAGAATCTATGCTGGAATCTAGCAAGGTCTGTTGCTCTCTTCAAGCCAATAAGAAAATGATTAATTGTGCTTCATTGTTACTGATGTTACAACACAACGGGCAAAATGCTGTTCCTGTGTGCATAACATAAAGTTACATGACTCTAAATGTGCTGGGCATTGCACCCACAACTAATTGTGCGATGCTCTGGGGAAAGTGCTTCATGGATAGCACTGCTGCCTTAATGCAACTATAGCTGTTGTGGGTGTCATGTTGAGTTGTGCTGCACAGTTACACAACAGAATTTTGCCCAGTGATTGAAATCCTGTTGGCATACCTACACTTATGGAAACGTGACGATGTCCCCAGTAGGAGATTATAGGACGGAGAGGAAATTAACTTGTCTGTAGGAATGTGACCCATCTGAAATCCACCGTTGGATACGGAGAGGAAATTAACTTGTCTGTAGGAAAATGTGATTCACCTGAAAGTCACCATGGGACCCTGTGCTACATTTACAGCTTCGGCAAATGAATTAACATATGCAAATACTGTGCCTCTTTGGCCTCGTTTTGTCATTTTGGCAATGCATTTCCTCCTCCCACCACCCCTTTTTGAACAATCTATAAGTTGCCACTGTTCCTGCAACGAAGCGTGGAAGCCACCCCTTTGCAAAAGGACAAGAAGTCATTTGTCATTCCAAAGTGAAATATTAGCCCTGGCGCTCTGTAATCTGTCTGAATTATGGTCCTGGAAAGAGGAGCACAACGCAGGCATTGAAGCCTGCATCCAATTCCTCTCCTCTCCATTTTAATACAGTTAATCCCCTCATTTTTTCCTCTTTGAAAGCTGTTTAGATGTTCAACGCCAGACACTGGAAAGACCACAGTGACCGTGATACATGAAGCATCATGCCCCATCCTTTTGCTGGATGCAAAAATAAGCTATATGCACGTGGCAAAGGTCAGGTTGTCCCCTATTCCTCCTGTTGTATCTCTTTCAGTGAAAAGAAGCCATAAAGTTTAGCCATTGGGCCATTTTAGAGGGTATCTACACTTCATACCTGTATCAGTTGGATACCACTTTTACTTCTGTGGCTTCATCCTGCAGAATCCTGGGATATTCTGATGGAGTATTTAAGAATTCCCTGGGTTTATCCAGATTGAACCCTTGTTCTCATCAAAGTAACTGGTTCTGCACCAGTTTTATCAATATTTTTCCCACCATCCACATGACGTAAGTCTCATCTTGCTTACTTTGGTGCTTCTCTTCATGATTGCCCATGCCATACAGTCTTTCCTACCCTGGTTTATTTTTAGGCTCAGTTTGTTCTGACAGGTGGATTTTAACATTACAGGAACTCCTGATAGGCATGAGAAGTTCATGTCCATAATCAGCACCTCCTGGTTGGAAGCTTTTGGCTATGGTTAATTAGCAGACAGACAAACAGACAGACAAAAATAGCTTCAGGAGGGAAGTGGGTTTCTAAAATATTTTAAAAGGATTTCATAAGGATTTCCTAAAGAAATCCTATAGATAAGTGGGTTTTTAAAAGGACAGTTTGAAGATGAAGGCCAAGGAAGTCCACTCTTTTGTAACCAAGCAGTAGAAAGTGAGAAGGAAATTTCCTCCCATATGAAGGAGTCCTCTTGTGGCAATTTCCTGCACACCAGCGATAGAGTTCTCTAGTGCAGAATTGTAAGTACCCCCTCAAACTATAAATCCCAGGATTCTTTAGAATTGAACCATGGCAGTTAAATTGGTATTTAAGTTCGTTAGATATGCATGAAAGTTGGTATTTACATTCCGATGATCATGCTAATAGCCACAGTTCACCTTTTAGCATGCATTTACATTTACACCTTTTTCACAACTTGAAGGAGCACTGCTACTAGATACAGCATCAGTATCTTGTTACTTGGAGCCCTCAGTTCCAAGGACCTTTTCAAGCCAATTGAAGTCTGAAGGTTCTGTGAAATTCTATTTGCTGTATCACTGTGCTGTCATGAACTTACAGGGCCTCAGCAAATAAGATTTCAGAGATTCTTCAACTCCAAAAGGCTTCTCAAGCGCGGCTGCACAAGTCTGCATTAAGAGAATGCTCTCGGCAAGAATTTAGTGATCATGTTGCCATTTCACACTTGAATTGCAAAGAAAGTAAACCAACAGCTCAAACAATGAAGAGCTGTTTAGATGAAGATTTGACTGATGGCAGTGTGGAATGCTAGATTTCCGGAAACTTCTGAAGAAGCAAGAGTCCATGCTAGAAGATACTGTAACTTCAAAATATTGCTACTCTCAGTTATACATTGGTTCTACTAGAGACAGTCTGCTTTCCCAAAGCCCCAGACATCCCAGCATGCAAGAGTGGTAGGTGTGGATACTGGATTTTCATTTACCTTTCTTTTGGACCTCTCTGATTTTCTGGAAATATTCTTCACCTTTTTATGAAGGTGATATAACACCTGCGGAAACAAAGACAGGATGATGCTTGCTTTATTGTACAACTTTTTTTTTACCGACCCATCCAACCAACCCAGATCCAGGCACATAAAAGAATTGGTCTATTTTATTTGCCTGGATGAGTAAATAATAGATCCTTGACTTTGCTGGAAAATGGGATGGTCCATGCACGGTGCTCCTTATCTTCCTCCTTTTCTTGGTGCAGCTGAAGAAAGTTCCTTTTTTGGGATTACATCCCAGAATCTTTGAGCCAGCATAGTCAGTGGTTATGCTGGCTAGGGGACATCTGGAGTTACAGAGATCAGAAAAAAACACTAGAGTTTATGCTATTGTCTATAAGAGCTCTCAGTTGTCTGTTGAGTGTGCCGCATTGGTTGTGCATGGATGTGCTTAACAGGCCAGTTCCAGTTTTGAAAGCTGGAGGGCCAAATACCCTTCAGTAAGATCTCCTTGCTGGGGTCACATGGCAGTTGTAACCACACTCAAAGGATAGCTAGGAGGGGGCTAGCTCAATTTTCCATAATGCCCATAAGTGGCTGATGCAATGTCACCTCAGAAAAGACGGAGCAATTAAAGTCCACAAAGGCAGACCCAGCGGCCCACTGTAGAGATGAGAAATAAACAGTTGTACCTAGTTACTTATAATTAAATCCTTTTTGCAATCGCTGCTTGATATTATGGTCAGTCATTCTCTGGGTTCTGGAAAACTTTTCCAAGTAGCTGTTTACATAAAGAAAACAAAGGTATACGTTAATTGCTTTCGCACAATTAACATCACATTGTTTGGCTCTCAATTCCCCCATTGCTGGGGAACTGCAGCAGGAGAGAACCCTCATTTTCTGCGTGGAAGCCTCCCTTCCCTATGGATGTTTGATTGGCCACCATTGGAAACTGGCCACTGGGCTCAGCGGGCCGTGGGTCTGAAACAGGCAAGTTCTTCCCATGTTTATATGAGTTAGGAAGGAACAAGGTGGGAACCGTAAGGTGTCTTGCCAAGGGGGGGTCTCTTGGAAGGAAAAAAAATAGTAGGTTGTTCTTTAAGCAATTAGAAAGGGGGAAACATGTTAGGAGGTTGGAACAGCAATGTTTCAAGCTGTCTTCTCTGGGCAATGGATTCCAAAGCAGCCACTCTGTCTCCATCTCTATAGATTAAAAATGAAACGTCATTGCTTAATTATATTTACAAGCATCTCTAATCATATGTCTGCCTGTGTAGGGTTCCAGTCCAGGCTGACTAAAGAACTGCACCTCCCCAGATGAGCTTTCTGAGTTCTTGAGATCTTCATGAGAAGTCCTCCCTCTACTTTTATGGTGGCAACACAAAACAGGGCCTTCTCAGTGGCTGCTCCCAGGTTGTGGAATGGCTTCCCTCCAGAGGCTTGGTTGGTCCCTTCCCTCTTTTCTAAGCAGAGAGTACTCAGACGTGGTTGACCCCTTCTCTTCTTCTGGGACTGTGGCGCTTTTGCCCAAGGCCACCCAGGCTGGCCCCACCCTAAGGAGGCCCTGTGGGAAATCAGCCACAGGCTCTGCGGCCAGATACCTAACCCACTGAGCTATCCAGCCAGCTACTTCCTTTCTAATGAAAGACGATTCCTTCCATCTTTATTTATTTTACTAGTAGTTGTATTTTAATTTGCCATTGCTCAGAGGGAGTGTTGTTAACAGAAGATGAAGCTGGAAGATTTTCTCCCCTTTTAAGATGCAAAACAACAGCCGCTGTCTACTTTGAGGTGATCCTTTGTATGTTAAAGGTTGATCTGAATCTCTTTCAGGTTCAAAATACTCATGGTGGGTCTGTTTTACACACACACACACCGAGAGAGAGAGAGAGAGAGAGAGAGAGAGAGAGAGAGAGAGAGAAAGATTTTAAAGAAAGCCATTAGAAAGGGGGAAAAATAATGCTCCAACCAAACTTAGATTATCCTTTAGAAAACACTCCTGTAACCCATCAGCGAATGCACTTAACCATTAGAGGTAGTATATGGAGAGTACTTAAGCCAATTAATTAAAAGAAATCAGACTCTTAAATGTAGCTTTTATGTCTCCCTCTGGCATGCTCACCCAAAACAGTGCGGGAGAGGAAAGCCCACCCAATCTGCAAGCCGTCATGCTCTAGAACAGAGCTCAGGAAAGCCACTTCCATGAACTACACCTCCCCAGTTCCACAGGGGCTGGGGGATTCTGGGATTTGTGGTTGGACAAAGTTCACAACTCTAGATTTTGTAACAGGATTGTGACTCAGCTGGGATCAAATGTGTTTTCTTCCCATGCCTCACACCTTCCTCACAGTGAGCTGGGATGGAGGGTGGAGTGAGTGGCCAAGGCATACATACATAACATTTGTTTACTGTATTTCTATCTAATCTTTCCCTCCTTGGTTTCTCTTTGAAGATGCTCTCCAGGGTGCTGAACCTATCTGAAAGCGAAGGTTTGCACCTTGGAAGCATTCTGCAAAGTTTGGACTAAAATTCAGAGCTCATTCACAGCCTCATCCATTCTCCTCTGGCTACAGCTTTCCCTTTCTCTCTCCTTTCCCCCTTCTTCCTTGTCTTTCCTGTCATTGTCGAGATCTGCAAGGTAGCTGCCAGTACACTATGAAAATCTCACCAACCCCGGTTTGGAGTCATAATTGCATGAGCAGGTCAAGAAGACCTGCAGCCATTCTAGGAGACATTTCTTAACTAAAAAAAGAAGGTTGTTTGCACATGGGATTTGGAGACTATACTTCTGTAAAACAGAATTTGTC